AAAGAAGTGAGTGTTTTCCTCATGCTTTATCTCATTGGTGTGAAATTGTCCATGTTAATAACAATAAAAATAAATATAGCTCTTCTATAATGTCCTAGTTCTTTTCTCAGTGAATCTAAAATATTTCTGTAGACTCAGTCTGACAACTAAAGTTTAGCTTTAGTATTGACCTGGGGTCAGTTTTGATTGAACAGAGCCACACTGAAAATTTGTGTGTAAGCTGGTCCACAGTAACAGATGCGATGCATACACTTCAGAGTCAGAATTCTTGCTTCCCTGCTTCCCCCCACCATCTAGGGATGTAGCAATTTTACTTCTGACCGAGAGAAACAGCAAATTACAATGACCTCACAACAGTTCAGTTGTACAGGCTAGTAAATGCAGAAAGTGGAGCTAAAACTGCAGCCTGCTTGCACTAAATGGGATGTGCTTCAGCATAGGAAAACATAAAAATAAGCACCAAACCCCATGCAAAGTTGTTTCAACTTCCTCCTCTACTGTTGCTCAAACCTATATCCAAGTTGTGAGCCAAGACTCGCTTTCAGGCCCAATGAATGGGCACAGTCCATGTAAATTTTTCTTTAAGCATAATAAATCATGTGGAGCAGGGTTAGTTAACAGAGGTAACTTAGGATCAGGTCAGAGTCTGAGAGAGCATGGCAATAAAAAAGTGAAATCCTCTGAGCTCTGGAAAAGCATAGAAGAAGAAATGGGGAGATGTCGAACCTTTTTATGTGTTGTGTGTTTGAGGTGTCTTGAATGTATTCTGGTGTTTTGTTGTGCTGATATGACGTGGTCTCACTGGAAAGCTAATATTATGCTGTATCCATTATGTCACTTATCACTGTATAGATTATGTTGTGTTGTCTATGTATATCATGATGATTTTGGAAATGTTTTAGCTAAGGGACTTGGAGAGACATATGTAAGAGCTATTGCCACTTCCACAGACAGACAGACAGAGCCATTATTAGACCCAACTCATTTTTTGTCTGTAATGGGAAAAAAAAGAAATGGCCCATCAGCCACAAAAAGGGGAGGGAGGATGGATGGATTGAATTCTGATGATTCATGAGTAATGAGAAGAATGCTGATTGGTAGGGGTGGGGGAAAGGGGGTGTGTGCAAAGGCTGACTTCGAGGTTTATTGTGTTGTGTTTTTTTTTACATAGAAAGTCTAGCCAGGTTAGAATTGTGTTCTTTGCAGTCAGGGCTGTTAGGTGAGTCTTCCTGATTCTCTAGAAACACTGGTGGTACTCCCAGGAGGGCTAGGGGGTAGCCACATGAGAGGTTAAGAAACTTTACCTATCTTTTTTTTGTTCTGTTTCCAAACTTATAGTCAGTTTTGCTTATATAACTCTTGTTTCCTAGATACAAGATTCTTTTATTGCTTTGTCTCCTTATTGCCTGTGGAAAGAGGGAACTCTAGGTGAGTGGTATTCCAGGCTAGTTCTTTCTATAGAAAGGGGGAACCTAAAATTTCTTTCTCAAGCCAAAGTGGAGGCCATATGGAGCTAGCAGAGATTCCCCTGCAGCTGTGAGGTCTGGTATAAAGGCAGTGGAGCTGAGGCTTTTGGGGATAAGGAGTTATCCCAGGGAAAAACTTGGTCTGTTCCTTGGGACAAGCAGTGGTACAGTGGAGAGAAACTCGGAGCACTGTGAGTACTCTGTGGACAGGCTTGTGACAGGAGATATGTGTATCAGTGGAACTGATATAGTATGGAAAAGCACCATTTAAAAGCTGTTATTAATATGCATGTGTAACAACTAGTAAAATAGTGTTCTTTTTCAGACAGAGTTTTGATATGTGATTAACTGATTTTTTTTTTTCCCATTCTGCTACTAATAATGTCATTTAGGTCCATTAATTGTTTCAAGCAGGATCATATAACATTTTTAAAAATTACCATTATTGAAACTAACAGTATTCTAAGTTCTTCGCTCTGATATCAAATGAAAACAATGCTGTTTTAAAAAATAAGGGTACTTCTAAAACATTGGTGAATGGCAACTTGTGTCAGCTTTATGTAGACTAACCTCCCATCAACCAATGTCTGGGAAATGAATTTCAAAGTTGTGCACTCGTGTCATTTTATGCATTAGCCCTTACACAGACATGATTTATTAAAGGGATTTTTATTTTCAGTTTTTCTTTGACACTCAGGTGGACATCAGGAGGTATCTGCTTTCATATTAAAGCTTTGAATAATCACATTTTGAGAGATTCCTTTGTATGCATCTGGTATGAAAAATGTTACACACCAGGCCTCCAGTGCTACCAGTAACATAGGCCACAAACAGATGCATAAGCAATGTGTAGGGCAGGCATGGGGGAGCACATGCCCCTCCCTGAAATTGGCCCTTGCCGGCTGAGGAGTGGGGAGCACTAGCTAGTGCCTGGCCCCCCCTCCCCGAGAAGCTCCAGCAGTGCTTCTGGGCTCAGCAATCAGCCACTGGGGGACCCCCAGAGCCAGGATGCACCAGCCACCCATGAACAGATGTTCATTTCTACTGGTAGAAGTCCTTTCAGAAGAGAGCAGTCTAGGCATTCAGTCTGTAGCTGTCTCCTCTCCCCTGCTCTTAATTCCTTCCCAAAACCAGGGTGATCTTCATCTGGGGATAGAGAGTGGAGTAGTGCCTACTCCACTTCTCCCAATCCCTGGGAAGATCAGTGGGGAAAGACTCTCTGCACCTGCCTCAGACTGAGAAATGGGTGGGGAGCAGTCTCTTTCATTCTACTCAGTCTGTGAGAGCCAAGTGCAGGGACCAGTGCTGTATGCAGGGAGAGGAGCACCAGCAGCAAATCTCCCCAACCCAGTGCATCTGTGAGGAGTGGGCAGGGGCCTTGCCCTGTTAGCCTAGAGAGAACCTCCCTGAGCCCAGTTCCTCCCTGGCCAGCTTCCGCTTGTGCACCTCCTCTCCTCAGCTGAGCAGGGATGAGATGGGAAGAGCTGGCAGAAGACAGCTCTGAGAGGGAGCAGCAGGGCAAAGTCCCTGCCTGCTCTTCACACTGGGAATTCTAGCCTGAGAAGCAGGCAGGGTGTAGCTGGGCGTTGCTCCTCCACTCCCCTGCTAGATTGCAGAATGGGTGGGAGCAGCTGCCTCCCCATTCCCTCTCCAGACTTGTGACCCTGGTCTCTGGAAGGCACAGAAGCCTTTCATCTAACTCATCCTGGTCCCCAAGACGAGTTAATCCAGGGGCCAGTGTGCAAATGTTCAGTTAGCCCAGAAGAACTCTCCCGGGAACAACTTCACTCTGGTTGTTCCTAGGTTATTTTTCTCCCACTGTGGCTGTTTTTGTTCCAGGAGAAAAAACTTGAATGTCTGCCTACTTGTGTTTTCTACTGGGAGAACAGTGATTCTCCCAGTAGAAAGTGAATGCCTGTATGCAGCAATATTGAACTTTTGCTATTGTCGTGACCCAGTGATTGTGTGTGCGCTTCGGCACTGCAGAATTATTTCCCGCCACATGGAGCTTTCTTTGCAGGTGCAATTCTCAGCTGCAGAGAGAAAACCCCAGTGCAAAGGAGTTCCCGCCACCCGTATGTAAATTTGTTTCCCACTATTGGCTGTTTCTAAATTATTCCCACGTGGCGGCTAGCGATTGGCTTGCTAGTCGTATAAGAGGTTTGAGCAGTTTCCGCCCAAGTTGTAGAGGACTCCACAACCATCTCGTGGGGACTCTGAGCACGCGGCAGAGTAATAGAAACTTTGTGTGTGTCTCAGAGGAGTTCAGCGGCCTGATCAACCACCAACCTCTTCCCGTCTTGTTCGTTAAATTCTTAAGACATATCTACGGTTTTGCGCGCTCGTCAAGGGTATCCAGAGCTCTGTCCTGTTTCTTCTGCTGAGCCTAGCAAACTCCGTGCGTGTGTCTTCGGTGGAGCCTAGCAAACTCCACTTGTGTTTGTCTGTAACTGCAACTCAAAGCTTTTCCTGCCTGCACCGCGACCACCTATGGTGTAAGTAAAACAATCTTTAATTAACCGCTACGAGTCCGTGCCTAATTCTAGTCCGTCGTGCCAGAGTCCCCGCCCTACCGTTGTGGGCTCCCGGCCACAGCCTGCTGCGCGCCCCCGAAAGCCTCGGACCGCTCCCGGCCTGCACAGCTATATAACTCTGCCATGTTGACATTTCGTGAGGCATGAGCAAACAGCTAGGGCCTCCCTTGAAACTTGTTTGTTTTTCCTAATTGAAGGGCTCTTTTCTGAAAAATCATAGGAAAAATCACAGAAGTTTTTTACTCGGGCTTGAACTTTTTTGAGCTCTGTAAATGCACTTTACAGATAGTGATGCTCAACCATGAAAGGTGTGTCATTTGCAAAAATAATTGTTCTAATTGGAGTGTAATGAACATTAATTTTAAAATTGTACCCTGTGGCTACCTGTTTCCTAGACACAAGTTGTATTCTTGATTCACAGTCTAATATCAAGCTGCATCTTTTATGGTGGAATTGTGAAACTGCTGTTTACTGTTAAGAATATAAGTTTTCCCCAAGTTTTTTCATGTGACAGTTGTATCGGTTGATGGTGCAGTGAACTTCTTTTGTTTAAACCTCAGTATTCTGAACCTCTTTGTATATAGTGACCTGGCAGTATATTTCTATATCTTATTTCTACCTGTTAATTCCAATTATCTGTAGTCTTGATTTTTCTGAATGTATCTGGTGTTGTCTGAGTTCTTCTGTTTATTGGGATTCTGCTATGATAAGCAATCTTAGAATAAAATATGAGACAAGAACTTGATATACAGTGGATTATGTAAGTTGTTCCTTGAATAGGGCAATCCCCTTCTGAAGTCATTGGCATCACCCAGTAGGCTAAATCAGGTCATATTTTATTTCAGGCTACTTAAGTCCATAGATCCAAATGTATGTAGCCAGCCAGTCAGCAGATTCAGTATTTTAACATTTGATGCCATCATTGGCCTGCAGACATTATCTCAAGTTCTGGGGGTGATGCGCAGGGGGTGCACAGGGGTGCATGTGCACCTCCTGAGAGTGCTGGTGCACCCCCTGAAAGCCAACGTTCCCCGCTTAGGTGATGGGCAGTGAGGGCAGGAGAGAGCTGGTGCCCCCCCTGAGGGCACCAGCCAGGGAGTCGGGGTGCCAGGAGAAGCGATCCCTGCTGTCAAAAAAAAAAAAAAAAGTCAAGCACAAAAATAATTTAAAAAAATGCAAAGTTAGCAAGATGTTGGAACTTAAATCCAAGGAAAACAGCAGTTGTTCATCTTTTACCCACAGAGGACTGTTCCCCTTTTTAGTTGTTCCTGCTTTAATTACTCTTATTTTGATACTCAGCAGTTTGGCTTTTAACTGTATCATGATGCTCACAGTTTGAGTGAAACACGGTCACCAGTGAAAGTCTGTTTCTCCTAAAATAAATAAATAAATAAAATAAACCATGAGTTTACTTGATTGTTTTAATTGACAAGCCTATATCTGCCTCATCACTAAAAGATCTTTGAATATAAATGTTTTCCTAAGAAGGTTTCCTACCTGCCAATAAAATACAAAGGTTTAGCTTTAAACTGCTAAATCTTTTGCAAATAGGATCTACCTTTTTAAAATGTTGCTCTCAGGTACAGATTGTAAGTTTGGGCTCACTTTCACTGATCTATTTAGAAACGACACTTTAATTTTTAAAAAGTTTCTGCCCTTTTGTTCCCTTTGGCAGCTTACCTATTTTTAAAAAAGATTCAGATGTTTCTGAAGATCTTCAATTATAGGTGTCTTATCTTCTTAAAGTGTAGTCCAAAGATGAAAATGGGTAGCTGCTGTCTGAAACCCATGTAGCAGAGTGCAGAAAGTTAATTTGTTGGAGTATGGAGTTGAATATATGTGGTATGTATAATATAAAATGTTTTTGTAGCTTATTGAACTATTCTATACTACTGAAAAATTACCCATATCTCAACAATTGCAACAGCAAAGACTCCTTAATATATGGAAGCTTGGGATTTAGTGCTGAATATAACTTCTTTTCCTTGTATATATTAATTTGTCATGATCTGTGCTACAGAAAAATTGCATCTTTTGCTTTTCAGAAGAAACTGTGTGGAAGGTATAGGCGCCTGTTTGAAACTTTAGATGTTACTCGTATTACTTTAAATTCCAGCCAAAAATTGCAAGTATTCAAAGTCATATTCATATTCTACTTGTTTAGGTTTCAGCAAATACAGAAGACTCCACGATGAGTGGTTATTTATATAGATCTAAGGGCAGCAAGAAACCATGGAAACACCTTTGGTTTGTCATTAAGAATAAGGTGCTATACACATATGCTGCCAGTGAGGTAAGACAATGTTGAAAGCTAAATGAGCATGGGAGAATATTTGTTTTTTAAACACTTTATAATATTACCAGATTGCAAACTAGTTCATTTAACTGTAATATAGTATTTTGAATTTTCTTTGAAGGAAGTGGAAAAAACTTTGTGTTAATCTGTTAGGTAGATGGTCTTCCTTTCTTGAGAACTAAACAAATCAGTAGTAACCTTTTTAAGTAGTATCTGTTTTTATGGATCAGCTTTCAATAATGGTAGCTGCCAAAGTGTGAAAGCTTTTAGAAGTAACTTTGCTTGCTCTTCCGCTAGGTTTACCCCTCTGGCTGTAGAAAAGCATACTGAATCTCTTGGCTTGTTCTTCACCTATACCCTGCCACAGTTTCATAATGTTCAATGCCCTTACTTAAAAAGGGGAAACGTAATGTCCCTTACCCCAGTCCTTTTCTGTTTAATAGTGTTTAAAATTAGTGAAGAGTATAGTATTATCTAGCCAGTAGATCTGAACGCCATAAAACTCAGTTTGTTGTACCGCTTTACAATATAGGACAAACAAGAAAGCCAGCAGTTATTTTTTTTATACTGCTTATATTCTTTCTCATAAGTCACATGTTGAGCAGAAAACGTAACGCATCTGTTAACAGATGCTTTAGTTCCTTGCAGTTACTAGGGGAACTGTGCATCTCTCCTCTCCTCTCCTGATATTTTTCAAGTATCCCTCTTCAGGTCTCTGGCCTTGAAATCGGGCAATTTTCAGACCTGGGTTATAGTCCCTGGTACTAACCATGACTACCTCAGCAGATCTAGTTTCTCAGAACCCTGAAATTCTGTTGTACCAGGGCAATTAGTGTTATAATAACTTCCTTAAAACCACGTATAATTTATTTACACAAAAGCATGTTGGAGAAAAATGGTATTAAAGGATAAAGCAGAACATAAGCATGCTGTCACTTGTTTAACCTTTTTCTACTTGGATTCCTATAAGAACTAACCTCCCTATAGATTCTTCCACGGATCTTGGGGTATGTTGACGTTGCTTCCCTAGCAGTGTTGGGGATACCACTCAAACCCATGCCACCCACCCCCTTCTGCTTTACACATGACTAGGGATCTGCCAAATTCACAGTGGAAGTGGGCTGCAGGGCAGCTCCTTTTAATCTTGCAGGGTCCCCCACATGCCCCCCCCCTGCCAATTGGCGGAGAGGCCCCACCACTCACTCCTGATCGGCAGGGAAGTGAAAACTGCAGTTATAAATATGGCACCATTTTTGCCTCCCGGCCGGTCAATACCAAACGCTGGGCCTCCAGGGTCTGTCAGCCAATCTGCAGTATGGGGGACCACAATGGATTGTACTGCCCAGTTAAGTGGTTTCCAGATCATTTCAAACCTACATTAATAAAATAGACTGTTGAGAAATTATATACAAAGATAGTAACTTTGAAAGTTTTGAGCCAGTCCAGTGTATACAGAAATTTCTAGAGTAGGGGTGGCTAACCTGCAGCATGTGTGTAACAAGTGGCACAGGCAGCCTCAGTGTGTAGCATGTGGCAGATTGGGAAGGGGACAGGTAGCACGGTATAATTTAAGGCAGAGGATGGAAAGCAGAGCAGCAAATCACCAGGGAACAGAAGCAGAGGGACAGAAGGGTATCGGAGTGGCATTAGAGGACGATGCAGGGCTAATGTGTGGTACACCTGCCAAAAAGGCTGGCCCCCACTGCGCTAAGGGTTTTTTGAGAGGAAGTGGTGGTAAAGTAGAAAAAGGAGGACATAAATGGAGCAAAAAGGAAGAAAAAGAAAAATTTTAAAAATGAATATATTAAGTTATTGGAAATATTACAATGTTTTTGTAGTGACATAGTGTTATTTTTTTATTATCCATAACACAAAAGCATAGAGGTACAGACAGACAAGTGCAACAAACTTAGTTATGTGAAACCAGTTTGTTTGTTTGTCTTTGAGTGGCTTCGTGTTCTCAATCTTGGATAGACTGTACTTGTATCCTAATCTAAAAATTTAAGAATTGTCATAATAGATCAGGCCAAAAGTTCATGTAGTCTCCAAGGTCAGATTCTTCAAAGGAAGTAGTAAGAACATCATAAAAGAAATGAAAGAGGGCTAAGTTATTTCCACTTAGCTTTCATTTTGTGGGGGAACAGCATGTACATAGGCAGATGGAATGGAACAGTTGATAGGCAAGTAAATCTCTACCCTCATTTACCTCATGGTAGTTAATTGGTGTGCTCATCCCCTTACAGTTCAGGTAACAATGAAATAGTGTAATGCTTAGATAGCTAAACTACCACACTGAGACTAATATCAACTCTAATGTTGTGTTTGTGTGTTAAACTAGGATGTAGCTGCATTAGAGAGTCAGCCTTTACTGGGATTCACAGTCACTGAAGTAAAGGATGAGAACTCAGATTCTAAAGTCTTCCATTTGCTGCACAAAAACACTTTATTTTATATATTCAAAGCTGATGATCCCCATTCAGCTCAAAAGTAAGTAACCATTTTAACTCAGTCCTTTCTGTTGATTTTTGTTTTCCCTATAGAACATGTTTCAGATGTCATTTCATTAATGTTTTGAGTCAACATTAATACTTGCATGAAATAACTCAGCTGCCTGGCACTCTTGGGCCCCATGGCTTGAGCTTGGGGTAGGTTGGGACTGCCTGAGAGCTCTGGCATGCGCCATATGCAGGTCCCTGCATATCCCCAGTCTGGGCCCCCAGGGAGCAGCATCGATGGTAGCTGTGTGCCCTAAGCCCCCGTGGAGGCAGCCACTGCCAGTGGACAGGAGCAGGATTCCTGCAGAGCCACCTCGCGCAGCACTGCACACCTGGCCCTAGCTCAGCACCACCAGAGCCCAAGCCACTCCCAGTGCTGCTGCTGCCACAACACCAGGCAGAGCCACCACTCTCCTCCCTGCACTGCCTGTGCTCCCACCGGACCTGCACAGATCCGCCAGGTCCCGACAGGAGTCCGCGCAGCACAGGAAGGAGAATGGTGGCTCTGTCTGGCTCACTGGTGGCACTGGATGCAGCTCAGGCTCCGGCGGCACTAAGCTGGGGCCAGGCATGTGGTGCTACAGGTGGGTTCCACGGGAATCCTGCTTCTGCCTGCTGGCAGCTGCTGCTGCCTCCATGGGAGCACAGCGCCACCGTCATGACTACTGCCCGGGGCCCTGGACTGAGGATGCACAAGGAACCGTGGGCGCAGAGGCAGCTTGTGCCAGAGCTCCCAGGTGCTTCTGACCCGCCCTGAGCCTGAACCGTGGGCCTGAGGGTGCCAGGCAGCTCCACTGAGGTGGCTTCATCGGGTGCTGGCAGGATGTGGTCTTCAGATGGCTGCAGCAGGAAGTGGGTGGGGGGTACATTAACCTACAACCCACATCTAGGGCCCTGAGCAGCTGGCCTGGCAGGTTGGGACCACCTGAGACCTGCTGAGCAAATAAGCAGGGAAGTTTGGACCTGGGCTGGGGCTGGAGCAGCTGCCCCCAGTCCGGTCTGCCCATGGCTGCCACTGCTGGGGCAAGGGTGGGGTGAGCCAACCACTACTGGGGCCGCGCTCCAGGCCTAGAGAATCTCCAGAGACCCTGCTCAGATTGGGCATCCTGCCAGGGCATGCACAGATGCTCCAGAGCCCCCAGCCCTGCAGGCAACCCCAATTCCCTAGCTCCAAACCCCACACACACCCACAATTCCCACACCTTCACAAATTTCACCCCCCCACACACACGCACACACCCAGCCATACAAAGTACCTGCATAATTTTGACGTTTCTTGTGCATAATTTTGAGTTTTTTGCTGTGCGATTTAAAATTGCGATTAATTGAGACTAATTTTTTTTAATCGCACAACTAATTGCAATCACTTTTTTTAATTGTTTGACGGCCCTAACTCACATATTTGCTCAAGCGGCCTGTAAAATACAAGATTTGCTTTTATATTTTTGTTTGGTTGAAGTGCACCTATTTTTAAATTTTGTTATTGCATAATGCTCAAAAAATGCTTGGTGTTTTCCAAGCAGAAAGGAAGATGTATTTTTATGAGGTTAAAGACTAAAGTGGAAAGAACTTCCAAAATGCACAGTAGTACTCGTAGCTACACTACCACTCAACTCATTTGAATAGAGTACAGGAATTTTAAAACCATTTTAATAACAAACGAGCTCTGCAGGGGATTAGTAATGTTTTGAATGATTTCATAATCGACAGTTTATTGAAAAATATATAAATGAAGTAATTTTTAAAAATACAGAAATGCAAGTCAAACCTGACAATGTTTTTCTTTCTAACAGGTGGATAGAAGCTTTTCAAGAAGGCACTGTATTGTAGTGACTTCAACACCATCTCACCGTCTAAAGGAGCAAAATGTTGAAGTATGATAATAAACAGAGTATAGCAACTCTGTTTAAAAAGAATATGGAATTCTGCTAGAATCAACCTAAACAAAATTGTATATTTATCAAAATTAGGGAAGTTGTTGCCTTTTTTTTAGGTGTAAGGTCATATTTTTTTAAAGAAATGTGTGTATTTGTTTTTCATACGATGTGCTATTTATTAAATTCCAATGTTTACTTAATGGTCAGAATCATTTCTGAGATTCATATGAAATTCCAAAGTGCCCTTGTGTTTAGAATAGTGGATAGCTTTGTCAGAGAACTGTTAGTAAGTTTATAACAAACCACAAAAAAAACCCAAACCATGCATGAACACACACACATACTACACTCTTTGCTGCAGCATATCTTTTGTGCAGTTCTTGAATTGCTGATACACATTTGCAATTTAACAATAAAAGTTAAAAAACAAAAAACCGCCGACATTTCAAAAGTGGTTATATGTAGACACTTGTTCAGTTACATTAACTCTTTTGAGAAGAAGTCATTTAGCTGAGATGCTGCTCTTTAAGAGTCTCAGTCCCATGGGACACTGCTGTTGATCCATACAGCCACTTTCTACATCATGTAGGCCCTGAAAATTAAGGCTGCTACTTTGTATAAGCTTCTGTAACAGAAGCAAACATTTCTAATAAGGTATTGCCTCAGTTATTAAAGGAAGAGGAAAGGAGGAAAAAATCAATGTATCTTTCTTTGTTATGTAGCCTACAGTTCTTGAACTTATGTACCACAGCTGTTATCAAATTGTGGATGCCAAAGGTATATTAATGTATTGTCTAACAAGAAATGGCAAGGGAAATTCTTTCAAATTTCAGTAGGATTATAAAGCACAGCCAAATATTCATTTTTTTGGTATGTGGGTGAAAGATGAAACCTCTTACCACCAATTGTTTCAAAAGCCATTTGATGCCATTGCCAGTTCCATTTTTAAATGATGGGTCTGAATATTTTGAAAACTGAAAATATTATACATATAACTATTTAAACTGAAATCATCATATCAAGAAAGCACAATAATTTTAGTGAAAGTGACTTTAAAAATGTGTACCATTCATTTTAGTGCCCTTTGTTCACACTATTGGGTAACTTCTGCTTGACACTTTAAACTCCAGTCTTCCAGCTGTGTGTGTGATGGGTGGTTTTGTTGTTGTTTGGGTGTGTTTGTTTGGTTTTTTTTAAATTGTCAGTACACCTCATTAGGAAACCCTTATACTGATTTTTTTTTTTCCCTGCATATATGCTATTTATTTTTTTTAAACTGTGTGTCTCTGTGTATAACATGAATGGAACTAACACTATGAAAAATCAAGAAAAGCCCAGGGGAATAGTATTTACATATAAAATAGGAAGCTTGTGTATAGCCATCCAGTTCATTTTTACTGTGTGTAAACCTAAAAAGAAAAGATCATCTGGATGAGTGTGGGTTTTGGTAATGGTATTAAGAACTGTCCTTTTGGTTGTTGATTCAAATCTATGCCAATAGGTAGCTGATGGATATTACCAATTATGGCCTTATTTACAAAAGGGAATTTTAGAAAAACCTTCTCCCTTGATTTATTAGTTCTCCTGTAGCAGTGGGAGTCCTAATATAGACATGGCTTTGTAAACTCCTGATGTGATTACCAGCGTGTTGATTAAAGCTCCAGTTCAGGACAGTTTTTAAAGTTGTGACTAATTTTAAGAATCTGAGCGCTACCTCCCCAACCAATTTTGATAGGATTGATCGCATGCTTGAAGATAGGCCCATATTTAAACATCTTGATGAGTCAAGGACTTAACTGGATTTGACTGATTTAATGGTAAAATGCTAGAAGCTTTTATCTGTCCTATAGCTTCTACTTGATGAAGATGAACTGATGGCAGTGCTAGTGGAAATTTTGTCTTTGCAAAGATCCCATAATATAAAACAGCTTATATCCAAAGGTTTTCTCTGTGAAATGAACTGGTGGATTCGCTCCGGTTCCCAGTATGTGGATAATATCACAAAATATAGGACCAGAAATAGCAGCCAGTGGTCATAACAGAGGAGCTAGAAACATGGAAGCTAATATAATTTCTTCCTTCTTGGTAGTACTCCTTCAAGATTAAGACTAAGATGTATGCATTGGGCAACTGTAGGGATGTTTGTGTTGTTACAGTTCTTGTTCTGTTGGTAAAAGGTTTAGAGTAATAATTCAGCAATGTACTTGAATATATTCCTAACTTTTAGTGCACAAGTAGTTTCATTGATTTCAGTGCATGAATAGTTCCACTGACTTCAACAGAACTGAAAACTAAAATAAATCCAGTACAGAAAGGAAACTGATTAAGTTTCAGTGTATGTTTGTGTGTCACTCCCTCACTACAAAACAACCAACCAAATGAAGTCAATACACAGCAAGGAATATGGTGCATGTATCCTGCTTGATAGGGTTTTACACCTGGCAGTATCGCCTGATCTGCTATATACCTCTGACTTGATGCAGAGTAAAAGAACATCTTCCATGAGTTATTGCTGAGGCAGTTGAGTGAATCCAGAACCAGTTTCTGTAATATGTATTACAGAAACTGGTTCTGGATTCACTCAACTGCCTCAGCTATATAATCTCTAAAACATCCATACAAATAAAACAATCTCTTTATGAAGTAAAACAAATGAGATTTTGACAGTCTAAACACTATCCAACTTTCTCAACATTTGTCCTTCTGTCGTGTGAAGAAAACTTTAAAGATATACATGATGGACAATGGTTAGAGGCAACAAGTGTTTGGTTAAACACTCCTCTGCAGTTTTTTCAAGCTAATATGGTCACTTTTGTATTCATATTGTAAATGACCAGAAAGTGAAACTGTTTAGCATATTTTCATTGACAAATCAAAATAAAGTAATAGAAATTACATAACTTAATATATTACCACTTTTTAATTTTGTTTTAATAATTAAAACATTTTAATAGCAGGTTAGGATATTAATTGTAAACATAATAATAACAAAATTTAGCATGTTCCCTTCTAAAATTATAATTTGAACCTGGCAATATCTTCTCTTGAAGTTTGAAAGGTTTTACGATCTGTGCTAATATGTTGATTTAGCACATCTTTGATCCAACATGATCAAAGTCCTACATTCAGGTTTTCATTTGATTCTCATACCAGCCAATCAAGCAATATTTGTAAACTAGCAGTTTTTAAAACAACTGGCTACCTCTGTATTAGAAACCATAGTTAATGTTTAAGATTCACTAGTAGAATGTCTGACAAGCGTTGGCATTAAAAGTTAGTTTGAACATTTTTTTTCTGGGTAAGTAAAGGTATTAGATTGCAGAATTCTACTGTTTTATAACAAAACTAAGCTGAAAACTTCTTTAAAAATTGTTACAATACACTTACTATAAACAAGGATTGATTAACTATCAATGAACAACACTTTAGTAAACTAGATTAAGCAATTTTGTGGAGAGTGTCTACCAAAGTGTTTTAGTAAGTAAATCTGTCAGGGTTAGAGACAGGCATTTAGTACATTTATTTGCCATATCTGCTGTTCGTTTATACTTATTTTCCAAATATACTTTATTTGGAGAGTCCTAGACTGTACTGTATTGTCTAAATGAAAGAATAGAATCTTTTATTTTGTAAATTAAAAGAGTTGAAAGTCATTGTAAATAGTTGTTGTGGATATGTATCGTGTGTACAAAATAAATTCCCGAAAGTTAATAGTAAACTTTTTTCTTTATGCATTTTTACAGTCACCTGAACCTTGTGTATTTCTTTATTTCTCCAATTCTAGAATTTGCTGAAGAGTTGCCCTTCAGAATCGCTGGTTTCACTTTTTAATTTTTTTTTTTAAGTGTTCTGATTCTTAGAGTTGCCAAGAAAATCTGGAAATGATGAACTGTGTGCAGACTAATGCTGTGTCTGCCCAGGTTCACTCACACCTCTAAGAAATATGAATTATTCCATCCATCTCATTCAGGGTGCAGTGCAGTGTAATTATGCAGCTGTAATATTTGCTATTTTGTTGCAATCAAGTGTCTTATATTTGGTTTTCCATCTCCTTGCCCTGCAGGATTTGTCTGTGACTGCTTTTTGTTCAGTTTCCCCCACAAATAGGTGTAACTGGATTATACCTCATGCTCCTTCTGTTCTCTCTCAAATCTGCTGGTAGGTAGTGCTGGGCTGCAGAAAGGAATGAAACAGGCTGAAGGTATAGGCTGGTGTACTTGGCTGGTCTGCCTCTAGAACAGCATGCAGGAGGGAACGTGAATGAATGAAACCAGCTACAAACTGCCTTTCCATGACACACGGTAGGGAGAGTTGTTCTGAGTTGGTCCCTTCAGAGAGCTCTGCAAGAACTAAGGTATAAGTAATGAAGCATGACTGTCTAGGTCAAAGATTCCCATCCTACTGTCTGATGCAGGCAGTTCTTGACTTACAATGTTTCGAATTACAATGTTTCGCACTTGCAACCTTTATAAATTGACACCGTGTTTCAACTTTGACATCAGTTTCGACTTTACAACGCTTATCTGATGCAATGCCACGCCAGTGAACAGGTTCAGTGCATCGCCCATCTCCCTGGAGAACGTGCGTCCAAACTTCCTTGGGCACTTTCAAGAAAGCAGAAAAGACTCCAGAAAAACCTGCAGCCAAGACTCCTGAGAAGACTCCAACCAAGAGCCCTTCAAAAAGTCCAGCAAAGTCACCTCAAAGAAGTCCTTCCAAACCAATATGATTGCTGTTTACAATATGAATACATTAATGTAGCTATATTACTCATCTGAGTGCTGAGTATAAAGAAGGGTGGCTGCCGCTCCACAGTACATCGGTTACTTCCAGACTGCAGTTTACCAATCCACGGTCACTTCCGGACTGCAGTTTGCCGGTCCATGATCTAAAAAGGTTGGAAACCACTGGTCTAGGTGACATGAGTGTGTTAACATGATACAGTGTAGTGCCATGTAAAGATAACGCAGATCAACTAAATAAGCTAGTTTGACTACTCAGTATCATAGTGCTTAGGGTTGGAAGGGATCTAAACAGATCATCAGATCCGACCCCCTGCCCCAGACAGGAATGGGTGCCAGGGTCATATCACCCCAGCCAAATATCTGTCCAGCCTCCTTTGGAAGACCCCCAAGGCAGGAGAGAGCACCACCTCACTTGGGAGTCCATTCCAGAGCCTAGCAGCCCGAACTGTAAAGTAATGTCTCCTGATGTCCAGCCTGAGCCTTCTCTAACAATTATGTGGCCGTTATTCCTAGTAACCCTGGGTAGTGCCCGGGGGAACAGAGAGTTCCTGCTGGTCCCCCCTGGTGAGTTTGTAAACAGCCACCAGATCCCCTCTCAGCCTTCTCTTGTGGAGGCTGAATAGGTTCAGGCCCTTTAGCCTCTCTTTGTAGGTCCTGCCCTGTTGCCGCTTGATCATGCGAGTGGCCCTCCTCTGGACCCTCTCAATGCTAGCCACATCCTTCTTGGACCTGCTTGTGATGCACTGTAGATGCATGACAAGGTGCAGTTAGCCTTACTAACTGCTTCCTTGCATTGGTGGCTCATGTTCATCCTGGAGTCAACAATGACTTCAAGATCCCTTTCTGCCGCTATGTTGTCAAGATGGGTGTTCCCCAGCCTATAGGTGTGTTGCTGGTTCCGACTCCCTAGATGCAGCACCTTGCACCTGTGTTGAATTCCATCCTATTCTCATCCATCCACTACTGTAATTTGTTTAGATCTAGCTGGATTCTGTCCCTTCCCTCCAGCGTGCCCACCTCACCCCACAACTTGGTGTTGTCAGCACATTTGCACAGTATGCATTCCACATCCAGATTGCTGATAAAGATGTTGAACAGTACAGGCCGCAGGACCGAGCCCTGGGGGACTCCACTGCCCACATCCCTCCAGGTCGAAAATGACCGGTCCACCACCACTCTGGGTGTGACCATCTTGCCAATTTGTCACCCATTTGACTGTGTAGGCATCAATGCTGCAGTCACCTAGTTTTTTTAAGAGAATGTGGTGGGAAACGGTGCCAAAGGCCTTAAAGTCCAGGAAGACAACATCCATCCTGACACCCTCGTCCAGGGACTTTGTGACATGATTATAAAAAGAAACCAAGTTAATTGGGCAGGACCTGCCCTCAATGAACCCATGTTGGTTGCCCCTGAGCATTACCTCCCCTGCTGGGCCCTTGCAGATGTGCTCCTTGATAATTTTCTCAAAGGTCTTCCCAAGGACTGAGGTAAGACTGACTGGCCTATAATTGCTGGGGTCCTCATTTCTCCCCTTCTTGTAAATGGGGACCACATTGGACCTTTTCCAGTCCTCTGGTACCTGGACAGTGCCCCTTGAGTACTCCTAGAGCTGTACAATCCACCTGCATAAATTAAGACAAGTGGGCATGTCTACGCATGTGATTAATGCACACAAACTGGAGCTTATTCCTCCAGAGTTTATTTATGTGCAGCATGTGGAGTCCAGTTGGAGCCCCCTTGTGCCTCAGCCAGCTCATCTGCAATACATGGAGTCCAGTTGGAGCAGCCCTGGGCCAACTGCCCTGAATGGGGTTCCATGTGCTGCAGAGCAGCTGGCTGGGGCACAAGGGTGCTTCAGCACAGGGGTTTCCTGCCAGCATGGGGGGCTTCCTGCACCCTTCTAAGTTGGTGGATCTCCTCTGGTGGGCTTTAAACTAGGCTCATCGGGGGAAGGGGAAGACGAGGGCGAAGGAAGCCTTGGACCGCTAAACCAAGCGTCACCCGCAAGAACAGCCCAGCCTAGATAGACAACGAGCAGAACAAATACCCCATAAGCAACAGGGGCCTGGGCAGTACTGAGATTAGGGGGCCTCAAATGCCTCTACAGAAATGCTTGTAGTATGGGGAACAAGCAGGAGGAACTTACCCTCCTGCTAGCTGACACCAACCCAGACATACTGGGGCTCACCAAAACATGGTAGGACCCAACGCACGACTGGGCAGTGAATATCAAGGGCCGTAGGCTGTACAGGAGGGATAGGACAGGGAGGAAAGGTGGGGGTGTGGCACTCTACGTCAAGGAGAAATACACATCCTCAACAAGTAGCATGGGGTCAGAGGAGGGGCACACTGAAGTGCTCTGGGTTAGAATACAAGGAAGTTGAGGGGAAAGGGACTTAACAGTGGGGATCTACTACAGACCACCCAACCAAGGGGAAGAGCTAGACCGGGAATTCTTAAGTCAGCTTACGGAGGTAGTTAGGTCAAAGGACGTGGTCATCATGGGTGACCTGAACTTTCCAGACATCTGCTGGGAAGAGCAGTCAGCCAGGTCTGAACACTCGCGTAGGTTCCTAGCCAAGTTACAGGACCTCCATCTAACCCGGGAGGTGCACAGCCCCACCAGGGGAGACGCTTTGTTGGATCTGGTCCTGGCCATGGGCGATGACCGGGTGAGGGGTCTGCAGGTGCTCAACCACCTGGGCAACAGTGATCATCTCCTGCTGGAATTCACCATCCGGTGCAAGGTGGCAAAGGCCAGCAGCAAGGCAGCAGCCCTGGACTTCAGGA